ACCGAGTCAAGCATCTCGACTATGCATCGGCTATTGTTTCCTAACCCAAATATGGCTTATTTGCATCTGTTTCATGTAGTGTAGCACATCTCGATGTATCTGGCCAATTGGCCACTTATCCTTTACAACAACATAGAAAATCAATCAAGACAGTTATGCCGTTACTCGCTGGTAGCCACGCTGTCGCCCTGACAGTTATGAGCCCAGTTGATTTCTGGTAACTGGCTCTTGATCGCGAGATTTATTGAATCAATTCAAGAAGTACGCCAAAGGACAATCATAGCGATCAGGATCGTTACAGCCCCATATCCTAAATGGCAGCAAAGTAAAGCCAGCAGAAGTGACAGCAAAGACTGTCTCAATAGTCCAGATTCAACTGGACGCAGAATACACAGAAGCCCTCCATCTTTGAGGCAATCCAACCATACTACGGCTTAACTAAGCCCAGCATATTTAACAGACGGAAGCCGCAATATCAGGCGGAAAGACTGACCCAAGCGACGCTGAATGAGACCGGCCGACCCTGCAGAACAACTACAAGCAACTATTTGCTAAAAAGATTACTATTAGAGTATCTAGACAGGCTTAAGTGAAGCCATCATCATGGACACCTCAAAGACAACTCAGCGCTTACGGAGCGACGAAGATTGGGTTAAATGGTTCAACCTTCTGAAGATGACAGCCTCATTTCATGAGGTCTGGCCATATGTTGATCCAGATGGAGAGCAGGTTCTCACTGAACCACAGATCAACCTTCCACCAGACGATTCGGAGAACTATGACAGGTTACTGAAGGTTGCTGTATTTCGCCACCAAGACGCAACCAGGATTCATGGCAGCAGAAAGAAAGGGATTATCGAAGTAGTCAAATGGATCACTTCTACAGTCGACCAAGTCTATCTCAACCAAGTCACAAGCCAAGAGACTGTCAGAGGCATGGTAGTTGCCCTCAAAGGCCAACTAAGCCCTGATAGTTACGCCAGACAACAGCAAGTCCTTCACAGATACAACATCCATCGCAGAACGATCAAGAGGACTCGTCTAACTGAATGGCTTATTGTCTATCAGGAGATTATGGAGGAGGCAACCTCAGCAGGAGTCCCAGCGCTTGCAGACTCAACCACCCAAGTGGCAGACTTCCTGAACATGGTTAAGGGGATTGCCCCAGAATACTACACTGGAGCCTCGTTCAACTTCTCCAAGAACACCGCCCAGGCTCAGACAAATCAGGCAACCCAGCCTCCCCAGGTTCCAGCTGGAGTCACCCAGGCTCATCAGTTCAGACAGTGGGTTCGTACGTTCAACCCAGACTGGCTTACCGCAAGCAAACCTCCAGTCAGTTCGACAAGCTTTGCAACCTGGCAAGGGGAAAATGAGGATAACAACTCCTCATCCTCACAGAACAACAGTTCAAAGAAGAAGGAGAAATGGAAGCCAGATTGCCCAGCCTGTTTTAGACAGCAAAAACACTATATCGTTGACTGCTGGCATATGAATCCAGCTAAGAGACACTCTCACTACGATCCAGAGAAGGATTCGAACAAGAAGTCTATTGAGGCAGGCAGGAGATTCCTTAACGACCATCCCAGAATACAGGAGAGACTAGACAAAGTCCTCAAGGAGGGATCATCAGGATCATCCTCATCCAACTGGAGACAAAGGTCTAGGTCACAATCCAGAGAAAGGAGCAACAACACTTCATATGTTGGCCACTCAGACGATGCCTCTATCACGTCATCAGCACATTCATCTTCAGACTCATCTTTCTGTACTGTGGATTCATTCCTCCCATCACCATCCAGCTTTACTTCAGGTTTCTGCCTTAAGGATAGTGTTATTGTTGACTGTGGAACAGCTTTCCACGTCTGCAACGATATTACCAGAATGAAGGATCTTGACTACACTTGGCAGAAGGCTATCCTCACAGGTGGAGGAGCAGTTCAGGCTATCGCAAGAGGTACTATGGTAGTCCGCCCTAATATGGGGGACAAGGGGAAGAAGGGGATTAGAGTCAGAGATGTGTGGTACACTCCTGACTACCCTGTGACGCTCGTAGCCACAGAGCCACTCAGGAAGAAGGGTCTCTTCTTCACTTCCAAACACCCAGGGATGGAAAACTCTCAGGGAGAATTACTATTCAAAACCCCTCATCAGTATGGGCAATACCTTCTTGAGTATCATGCTCCACAAGCAACGGAGACTCCACCGCCATCCAAGCAAGTCACCTTTCAGCCTCCTGATAGGGATAAGGAAGATGCATCCTTTTCAGGATTCAAGAAATCCTCAAACCCTCTCGCCTCTAAGGCTGAGGCCTGGCTATGGCACGAAAGACTTGGCCATCCAGGTGCCAAAGGACTTGAAGAACTTGTCAAAAACTCATTGGGGATATATCTCACAGGCATCACTAAAGATGAGTGTGCAGCCTGTTCAACAGCAAAGGCAATGAGGAGAGTTTCCAGAAGACCTCCAGATCATAGGCCAACTGCTCCAGGCGACTATATTGTTATCGACTTCTTCGCTATGAGCAACACATATAATGGCGAGAAGTATGCTCTCATTATGGGAGATAGATGGTCCCGCTTCAACTGGATTCGAACACTGCGAACCCGGAAGGAAGGTCTTGATGCTATACAGAGGCTTGTAACCCTTCTTGAAAGGCAATACTGTATCACAGTTCGGGTTATGAGACTTGACTGGGAGACAGCACTCCGGAACGCCTTCGACCTATGGGCAGCTATGGAAGGAATCCTAGTTGAAAGATCAGCAGATTACACTGGTGCCCAGAACCCAGCAGAGAGGCTTGGAGGAATGTTGTTCATGATCGCAAGAGCCTTGAGATTTCAGTCAAGATTCCCAGAGTCTATGGCCCCAGAACTCATCAGAGCTGCGGTATATCTCTGCAACAGGATAGCACATAAGATTCTTGGCTGGAAGACCCCTGAAGGGATGATCAACGAATGGCTTAACCAACAGCCACACTCAACGCATCAAAGGCTAGAGAAGCCTCAACTTGGACATCTCAAGAGATATGGCTGCAGAGCCTACCCTCTCACCACTATCTATAAGAGAGGTGAGCAGAAGTCAAACAAGACTCTGCCAAGGGCTCATATTGGCTATCTGTGTGGGTATGACAGCACTTCTATCTACAGGATCTGGGTACCAGCCCTGAACAAGGTCCTCCGAACAAGAGATGTCACATTTGACGAGAAGATCGTGTACGACCCTAGTACGGAGGATACCAGTCTTCTTCATCGTCAAGAACTTCAGTTCCAGTTCGAGGAACTAGAGGTCGCCTTTCCAGATTCTCAAGCAGAGGACTTACCTATGGACTCTGTCTTATGGGATGGAGATGAACTCCTCCACGAAGCATCTAAGCATACCTACCTTTTACAGAGGGACAGCAATACAGATGGACCCAGCAACATACCAACTCCACAGCAATCTCTACAACCAGAGGAGACTGATCCTGGTCCATCTGAGGGGGTGGAAGAAGAACGAGAACAACGCCAATCATCACCAGAGTCTACTCAAGCTTTCACTCCACCAACCCCAGAGACAGCAGAACAGACTATTAAGCCTGAGATCATTGTATCTCTATTGCCTTCTCCACAGCCTACCACTATCACACCTGATCCAACTCAAGGATCAATAGAGAGACGAGGTCGTCCTATAGGCAGCAGAAACAACAATATCTACAACAGGGAAACACCAATTGGTCAAGTCAGCCGCCAGCCTCCTAACGCCACCAGATCTTCAGGAAGGCGCAGAAACCAAAGAGGATCATCTGGAACATCTAACTTCACCCTGTCAACTGATACAAGCAAAGATAAGTACACTGTGGACGCCTCTGCCCATGATCTTGGCATCATATACAGGAAGGATCTTCCTCCTGAGCCAACCACATATGCTGAAGCCAAACAACACAAATACTGGCCAAAGTGGCTAGCAGCAATGAACGTTGAGAACAAGACAGTATGGAAAAAGGGCACCTTCGAAGCTATCAGACTTCAAGATGTGGACCAAGAGGAGTATAGGATCCTACCCCTCAGATGGGTGTTCACATACAAATTCGATAAGCATGGACGACTGCTTAAATTCAAAGCAAGGATCTGCGTTAGAGGAGACCTCCAACCTATGAATGGAATGGAGACCTACGCCTCTACCCTTGCTGGAAGATCATTCAGAAGTCTTATGGCTGTTGTAGCAAGGTTTAACCTGGATACAATTCAGCTTGACGCTGTGAATGCTTTCACTAATGCTGATTTAGACGAGATTGTCTACGTCTGGTTTCCACCAGGCTTCAACCGTTCAGGCTATTGCCTCATACTTCGCAAGGCTCTCTATGGGCTAAGAAGAAGTCCACTGCTATGGCAGAAGAGTCTCAAGACCACTCTTATGCTTTTAGGAGTCACACCTCTAGATGAGGATGACTGCATCTTCATCAGCAGACATCTAGTTATCTTCGTCTTTGTGGACGATATTGCAATTGCTTATCGCTCCAGAGATAAAGCAGAAGCAAGGAAGCTTATCAATGGTCTCAAATCTAAGTATGAGATGAAAGAGATGGGAGAACTCAACATCTTCCTAGGCGTTCGAATCACCAGAGACCGAAGGCAAAAGAAGCTTTGGCTATGCCTGGATAACTATATCACTAAGATCTGTGATGAATTCAAAGTTGACAGAGGGAGGAGAGGTCCTATGACACCTATGGGATCTGACAAGCTTGTCCCAAACCCAGGTCAAGCCTCACCTCAAGAGATTCATCACTATCAGCGCATATCTGGATCAATCAACTACGCTGCTATCATAGCAAGACCAGACATCTGTTATACTTCATCCAGACTTTCAGAGTTCAGCATAAACCCTTCCCACAAGCATCAGCAAGCGGCCAACAGTTGTCTCAGCTATCTCTGGAACACCAGATACTTCGCTATTGAGTTCAACTGTGAAGGCAAAGGGACACTCTTCTGTGCCTCGGATGCTTCATTTGCAGATGACACAGTCACCAGAAAGAGTACTCAGGGATATGTGATGATGCTCTTTGGAGGTCCTATTGCATGGAAGTCTTCTAAGCAGCGAAGAGTTGTCATATCTAGCACTGAAGCAGAGCTTGTGGCCCTCACTCAGGCTACAAAAGAATACCTGGCTACCACACGTCTAGTCAAGGAACTTCAACTTGAACTTGATGACGACTTCAAGATGCAATGCGATAATCAGCAGACTCTCAGATTGCTTACAGCTGAGAGACCTCAAGCAACAAGCAAACTTCGTCACATCAACATCAATAACCTATGGTTACGACAGGAACTTCGTACTGGTATCATTAAGTACGAGTGGATCAAGACCAACGAGATGGTTGCAGATGGAACTACGAAGGCTTTGCCACCTCAGAAACACAGTTTATTCCTAGCTCAGCTTGGGATGACAGATGTTCATAAGTACATTCAGACTGGTGATCCTACAGTATAAAAGGGTGTTACTCTCAGATCCATTCAACTGGAAAGTCAGAGACCTATCGCACTGTCTTCTTCTGGGGTTATCAGCAGGCTGAAAACACCACTCACATCAACAGATTCAACATCACCAACTTCATGATCGTTTACATGATTTCTATCTTTTGAGTATATGGAGTACTCATAGTTGAAAAGCTCTCTATTCAGGGAACAGCCGCTCCTTTTTATACTGATCTATACTACGATCACAGCAAAACAGGTATACCGGCCACTCTTTTAGTCATGTCGTATAGCAGAGATTCATTCCATTTTGGAATCATCTCTGAGGGGGTGTGTCAGGCCCACATTGCATAACCGAGTCAAGCATCTCGACTATGCATCGGCTATTGTTTCCTAACCCAAATATGGCTTATTTGCATCTGTTTCATGTAGTGTAGCACATCTCGATGTATCTGGCCAATTGGCCACTTATC